GATCAAATATAAATAGGCTATTAGACGAAAAACTTAAAGAACTTTAAAAATTAGAGATGTTGTCTTGGGTGAAGTAGGCCTACTAAAATGACTAAAACTGACATTGAAATAAAAATAAATATAGGAATTAAAAAAAAATGACAAAGCACACACCGAAATGACTTGACCTAAAATTATAAAAATGTAATAAAAATAAAAGCTTATTCAAATTATTAAAAAGCACCTAGCATATAAATACTAAATTGTGTAAGATGCTAAGACTTTGATAAAAAGACTTTAATAAAAGATATTAAGAACTTTGTGAAACTAGACCTACTTTTAAGGATTTTTAGATATTTTTACTGTCAAAGACAAATATTAAGAATCATCTTAAGATGATTTGTGTGTGTGTGTGTATGAATTATTTTTAGTTCATATTATGAAAGTCTCATCTTTGTTTGAAACTTTGGTCATATAACATTGCATTATATACACCCTTATTTGTGCTATAAACAAACTATTCATCACCTAGACAAGAATTGTATAGGTTTACCCTGCACAGAAGTCTTGTGATGATCACATGAAACTGGGTGTTTTTCTTTGTTTTTAAAAAGAATTACGTCTGTGTAGTGTTTGGTTGTTGTTGAGCATCAGTTCATGGCTGACCGCAAAATAACTAAGATTGCTGTCATGCTTCTCATGTTATACAATTACAGGAACATTCTTGTGCATTATAAAGCAAAGAGAGAAGTAGAAACTTTGTGTTTTTTTCTTAAAAGAAGACTTGAGATTTATTTAGTATGGCTCATTTGATGGGTATTTGTGTTTACTTTTAGACTGAGGAAGTTTTACTTTCAGTTGATTGTTTGTATCACTCAAATTGATACAATTGGATTACATGGATTAGAAAAGTTTCACTTTCATACGTCAAAAATAGGTGGTTTCACAGCTCCACCTCTTCTGTCAAACCCACAAAAGTCAGTCCAACCTGACTCTGTGGTAGTTATTTAAAAAGCTTTAGGTATGTTTAGGTTGTGCAGTGCTAGGAACAGGCTGTTACGGATGACGCCAGGGTTCTTTGTGCAGAGTCGGTCTGCATGCTGTTTCCGCAAATAGAAATCTCATTGAATGGCAGAGCGTCGGCTCTGTGCAGTATTGGCAGATAGACATCCAGAACAAAGGGTGGCTTTCTGAATAATCACACTGCACAAACATATGCGATGTAATTGCAGTCTTATTTGATCCCAGTTGTCCCTCATATGCACAATGACATCCAAATACACTAAGTTAATCTTTATTGTAGTTCAAAGGGTCATCGAACTTTTTGTTGCTCAGAACACCAAAATATTTTTTCTTTTATATTTTTCTTTAGCCAACACATTTAGCTTATTATTGAACTATAGCCTGAAAGTAATAAATTATTTGAAAATATAAATGATTATTAAATTGGCAGCATATCTTATTTCTCTTAACTATATTATTGATATTAATATAATATTAATATTAGTTCTAATAAAGTTGAATACATTTTTAATGAAGTTCTAAGTCCTAAGCAAAGTTTCTTGTTAAAGCCTATGGCAGTCAATACAATAAAACCATAATTAATCACATGAACAAATTGTAAATGTAAATGTGTTCAAAATTAACGCTAAACATATTGTAATTTTTTAACAACCATATATTTTTTTCATATTTCTTTTTCATATTTCAATATATATATATATCTTTTTTTTCAAAGTTGTAAATAAAACAAGGATTATTGGAGTGCATTTTACAAGAAAATACTTTAAAAAGTGTGAAATTTATTAGCAATTTCTGAGTGAATTGTTTCTACAACAAATGATTTCGGTGTGGTTTAAAGGTGGTAAGTAAAGATCATGCACAGTAAAAAAAAAAAGTCTCTACATTTTGATTGAAATGTTGTGCTTGCAGGTTTGTGATTGGATCTACCCGCTGTACCTAGACTCACCAGTCTTTCTTAGTAACAAAGGTGTGTTCACATTTCCCGATACCACCGCAGCAGTGCCGGGGTCCTATGTTGGGGTGGTGCTGTCCTCAGAGATGCCTGCAGCAGACAGGCATCTGTTCCAGGAACAGCTGTCAGCACTGGCACAGCTCAGGGTCCAGGTACTCAATCTCACTTTTGCTTTTGCCAAAATGCATGATGAAAAAAAGACAAAAGTGACATTTTTATTGAACTCTCAATCTATGCATTTGTTTTGTATAACTCATAAGCTTGCTACGTATTACTCATAACCGAGGGATTTTCATTTAAGGTAGACGAAGAACAAGGTGGTGCTACAGGAACAGACATTAACCTGAGTAGGAAGGTTCCTCCTTCAGAAACATCTGTAACCCAAACACCAGGAGGGGAGGATAAAATTGTTCCTGTTTGGAGCGAAAAAATGTCTCAGAGTATTCTAGCAGGTCTGAACTTTAGGATCAGAGTAAAGTAACCTGAAATTTTGATAGGAATCTCACTAGATATCTAGTGTATTTGTTTCTTCTATTGAAATAGAAGTTGAGAAGACACACATTCTTAAAAATAAAGATTGGCATCTAGGTTCCATGAATAACCTTTAACATCTGTGGAATTTTTCTGTTGCACAAAAGGGTCTTTAGATTATTACAGTATTCTCCACACTAAGAAAAATGTTTTTTTAAGAACTGATCAATGAGAGGTTCTTTGTGGAACCCAAAATGGTGTTCTAGGGCATTAGTATGGAAAACCCCTTTTTGGAACCTTTATTTAATTAAGAGTGCACTGAACACCTTTTTGGTGCATTTTATAAATAGCCACTAGAGGCCACTCTAATACACTCTCAGGGAAAACAAGTGCTAAAGGTATTGTGATATTTCCACTGTGGCTGTGCAGGGACGTCCTGGCTGGGTCGGGGGCTTGTGCGAGGAGCTGAAGCTACTGGTAAAGCCATCCAGAGAGGAGCAACTAAGCTACGAGAAAACATCACTCCAGAGGAGACCCCAGCAGAGGTCAGCCCCAAGGTCACCAAAGGCCTAAATGCAGCCAAGCAGGCCACAGGGGGTGCTGTGAAAGTCAGCCAGTTTCTAGGTAAAACAATGGTGTAATTAGATTTATCATATACTGACATATGTCGAGCTTTTCTGTATCCTGTTCTGCAACATGTACAATACATTTTGCTTTATTCACCAGTGGATGGTGTTGCTGCTGTAGCTGATAGAGTTGGGAAAGAAATGGCTCCACACGTGAAAAAACACGGTAGCAAACTCATCCCAGAATCCCTCAAGAAAAGTAAAGAAGGCTGCTCCAACATGGATGGAGCCAAGCTAGTGGCAGGAAGCAGCATACAAGGTAAACAAATAAATCCTGAAAGGCTTTTGCCATTTTTCTTTTCTACATTAGGTTTACTTAGTATATCAAACTTGTAGATCCTTTATAACTTGACAAAAGATATTTTAGTTCATGTTTAGATGCAAATTTTGTTCTGTAGGTTTGTCAACTCTCTGGTCAAGTCTGGAAACAGCAGCAAAGACTATTGGCAAAAGTGTAACTTCAGAGACTGTGACTACTGTGAAGCACAAGTAGGTGTTTTTTTATTTATTGCTTTTCAGGATCCACTGATTCACGGTTTCTCTTCTGCTTTCCTTTTATTCTTTTCCCACCTGATACTGCTGTTGTTGTTTTTTGCTATATACCTATCCAAACTTCAGTGCTTTGGGAAATGGATTAATTTACTCTTTCCTGTTGCCTTTTCAGATTTAGGGGTCTAGGAAGCCTCTTGGACCCCCCTAGCAGCATATAAATGGTGGCGGGTAAAAACACACTTCGTTTTCTGTCAAATTCGAACCTACCCAAAGTGCCTTATTTTCTTGAGTTACTGACCATTCAGAAGTTGAGAAGGTGCTTATTATTATTACTGCACCGTCAGAGTGCTTTGTGAATTAAAACTGAGGTGAATGCAACATTTTGTCTGTGCACTGTGTTCTGTTCATTTTAAAACTTTTCACATTATTTCAAATATCCTTTAGAATCTTCTGTCAGGACTTTTAGCTCAGAATATCTCCATGTTTGTGATCAGGTATGGAGACGATGCAGGACAAGCTGCAGACACTGCAGTCCAGTCTGCTGTCAATGTAGGTATCACAGCATTTAATGTGGACAACCTGGGCGTCAAGGGTATACTGAAGAGCACAGGCAAGCACACTGCAAAAGCAATGGTGAAAGACGGCTCAGGAGGAGAAGGAACCGAGAAGAAAGAAAAGCCACCTAAGGATGAGAGAAAATAATAAATTATTAGCTGTCATCAATTAACTTATGTACATTCTCGTAGCAAAAAAGTATCGTTTTGTATTGATAATGAGATTGACATTATACTGAGCAATGTTTTACAAGGATGCACTTAGATATGTATTGTACTAGTTAAAGGTTATACTCATGTTACTCAAAGATAACGTTTTTATTTTCTTAAAGATATTCAGATGGTTATTTTTATAGAAAGAAACAACAACAGGGTATTTGATTTTGTTTTACCTTGTTTGAATGTTTATTTCACAAGTATCTTTGATTTTCATGTACATTCTGCATTCTTCAGATGCATTTAGATGAAAACTTGGAAGATAACTAAGAATTAACATCACTGTACTCTATTACTGTTTTGTACATTCTTGTGGCTTATGTTAACTTTAAGAACAGGCCGCCTCATTAAAGTTTACCACAAAAATTTACATTAGCCGTAATGAAAAACATAACACCATGGTACTATTTGTAACTTTTTTTAGTGTAAATACAACTGCCATAGTTGTAATAAAAAGTAGAGTCTTCTTGCCTTTTCCTAAACATGATTTCAGATACATCTGTCAAATCCTCACCGTTACAGTGAGCGTTGTTGTAAATTAAGGTAAAGCTTATTGAAAAGGTCGCCGCACAATAGGACCCAACGTGATTGCGTAATCAATGTTGTGGTTGTTCGTTGCCGTGGATACAGCCCAACAATCACAAAGACACCGATGAAAGTGAAACCTGTTCATTACTCAGACTGAGGATGGGAGAAACTGATCTCAGAAATTATGAGTTATCCCAACTGCAAGCAGAAGTCGAGCAGGAGAGAGAGGTCAAGTAAGTCCAAACATATTTTAAAAACACAAAGCAATGTCTTGACCGCTGTCACCATGAATATATCAGACATTGCAGTTGCACGTTGATTAGACTTTAGTAATCTGTGAATCGTTAAAAGGGAGATGTTAAAGGACTCTGTGTCTGACCTGAGGAGCACACTGGCTGATTTGGAGAAGAGACTTCACAGTGTTGACGGAGAAGGTCTGTATATGAACAAAAATGCAAGAAACATTAACCTACGGTATAAATTACATTTGACTAGTAATCTAATGAGCAAAAAGAACAAATTTGTACATTTATTAAAGTTGAACCGTACCACTCTCCTAAGAGAACGAGTGGAGAACCAGATATGAGACACAGCTGGAACTGAACGAGCAGCTGGAGAAACAAATCAGTGTCGTTCAAGAGAGACTCGAGGCCCTCCACGGTGACCCCTCAGGTAGCATAAGAAACGCTTCTTTTTTTCTTTCTTTTTTGTTGTTGCTATAGTATAGTATGTTATCTTATAGTATAATATAACCCATAGCCTTTATATTTTGTAATTTATGGTGTTTTCAGGCCTCCCTTATAGCGTGTTGCTGCAATCAGTTTGCAATAATACAAAGATACACTTGGGGGCACCTGCCAGAAAAATAACGGAACAATTCAGGTACACTTACAAGTATACTACTAGTACACTGATATTTGTATACTTACTACATAAAGTATACTTAAAAATATACTTGAACTTTACTTAAGTATACTTACTAAAATAAACTTGAAGTATACTACTTTTTGGTAAGGGAAGCTTTATATGGTCTGGAAAAAAGTATTTTGGGCTAGGTCATAGTGCATGTCCACAGTTTCACATACTTCACTCATGATTTCCTATGTTGGCTCTATCTCTAAGTTCTCTTCATCATCTTCATCAACCTCTTCTTCATCCCATCTGTCATTTGATTCTTCACATCAGTTATGATCAAATGAATGATCAAGGGTCTTATGCTGATACAGAATGTAATATGAGGCAGGCACAGGCAAGCCATATACTTTAGCGCTGAGAGAATAAGCCATGCTGTTATTTTGATGTATTGTGTACACACTGCACCACTGTAACTTTTGTCTTGCTCTTCAGATCGACTGGCTTCTATTCGCTCATATGATCAAATGTCAGAGGTAAGCATTTCAGTTGCAAAAAGTTCTACCAACTTCCAAAACTTCTAAACAAAATTGTAATTGTTATAAATTATAAAATCATTTGAATTTAAATATTAAATAATTATATAAATTATATATTGTATATAACAAAATCAACAAATTATATAAAATATAATTACATAGCCTAAATATAAACAGAAAAAAAAATATATAAGGCAAGCCATATACTTTAGCGCTGAGAGAATAAGCCATGCTGTTATTTTGATGTATTGTGTACACACTGCACCACTGTAACTTTTGTCTTGCTCTTCAGATCGACTGGCTTCTATTCGCTCATATGATCAAATGTCAGAGGTAAGCATTTCAGTTGCAAAAAGTTCTACCAACTTCCAAAACTTCTAAACAAAATTGTAATTGTTATAAATTATAAAATCATTTGAATTTAAATATTAAATAATTATATAAATTATATATTGTATATAACAAAATCAACAAATTATATAAAATATAATTACATAGCCTAAATATAAACAGAAAAAAAAAAAATTATTTTAAAGAATTATTATTAATGATAAAATTCTAAATGTCATAGACTTGCACAGTATGTAGCAGTCAAAAACACAGGCTTTTAAAAATATATATACATTTCACTCCCTCACGCCCCCTGTCTGTGCAACATGGAAGAGACGATTTGGTCTATGCTTCAGTGCATGTATACACATTTCATTTTCAACAGCTATTGTTGCATGGTGCAATTGTTTCTAATTACATCCTGTCACAGCTCAATATGGTCTTCTGCCAAAGACGAGATTAAAATCAATCTGCTGAGACAGCCTGAAAAAAAATAAGTGAGAAGTAATCTGTAAATGAGGGAAGAGAAGCGAGAAAGACATGGGTGGGCCATGCCAGAGGGATGGGATGACATTTAGAATATTTAAAAAGCAAAAATATTTGAGGTCATGCTTGACCCCAAGCAAATAATCTTCATTTTATCCCTATCATATAATCACACATCATATAAGAACATTCTTTATTCCTTGTCTTAAAGAAATAGCTCACTCCAAAATGAAAATTTACTGACAGTTTACTCTACCTCAGGCCATCCAAGATGTAGATGAGTTTCTTCATCGGAACAGATTTGAAGAAATCCAACATCACATCGCTTGCTGACCGGTGGTTCCTCTGCAGTGAATGGGTGCCGTCAGAATGAGAGAGTCCAAACAGTTTATATAAACATCACAATAATCCACAAGATTCAGTACATCAATTAACGTTTTGTGAAGCCAAAATCTGCATGTTTGTAAGAAACAAATTCATCAGTAATAATTACTTGTGGATTAATGTAATGTTTTTATCAGCTGTTTGGACTCTGATTCTGATGGCACCCATTCACTGCAGAGGATCCATTGAAGAGCAAGTAATGTGATGCTAAATTGCTCCAAATCTGCTCTGACAAAGAAACAAACTCATCTACATCTTGGATGGCCTGAGGGTGAGTATTCTTTGAGCACATTTTCCTTTTTGGGTGAACGATTGCTTTAATTTGTTCAGATATTTTCTTTTTATTCAGGATGCTCTCAGACAGAGGCTGAAATTGCTGTCTACTGAGAAGTGCGGCCTTCAATCCCAACTGAAGGCCTTCCAAATAAGAATTGTGCAGGAAGGAAAGGTGAAGTCCTACACCATCATATCTTCCACCATCGTTCCTACTACGAAAACTACTCTCTAGTCAAGACATCACGTATCTTGTTGTACAAAATCTCCAGCTATTAATTGTAACATAAATGACATAAACATGAGAAAGTGAAAGAGTTTAGGTCTGGGCTGCTGAATTCCCCTAGAGGTATAGTAACAATGATTTCACAATTATGTTGACATGAGAGTCCTAAGTGGAAGAATAAGGAAGGATTACAATTTGTTACTTGGTCATACATTACAAAGACAGATAAATAAAGACATAATTGTCTTTATTATGCATTCTATTCCTAATAGACTTACCAGAAAGTCTACGAAGAGAGGCGGGCGTATCTTGCAGAGATCGCAAAGGTGAGGAAGGCATTTAAAAGAAATTTTCCAGTTTGTGCTTTCAGTTATGTGTATTCACTTGACAGATGTTTTTATCCAAGACGCTGTACAGTGTAGGTTTTATCATTATGTGTGTTCCATGAGAATCAGACCTATCACTGTGGTGTTGAGCTACTTGACCAAAGATATTATCCAAAGTGCTGCGTTTAAATACTGATAATGTGTCCCTATAGCTGTCTTCAATGCTGGATATGAGCAGAAAGCAGCAGATGGTTCAAGCCCAGAGGAAAGCGCTGGGTTCAGACAAAACGTAAATGTGAAAACGCACTGTACATCATCAAATGACACCACTTTGGTTCATAGGAAACAATGCCAGGTCTTATTTTTTTTTCTTTAAAAATTTTAAGCAACATGGAAAAAACATGCAGGGTTGAGCCAATCAATTATTACAAGTAAATCAACACTGTGAACAGAATGTGATTTTATCATCATGTATACTTACTCATTTCACTGGTATACTTAAAATCGTGAGTAACAAGACCAATCCTTTCAATCTCAGTAGGCTAAGAATGAGTAATAACTTAAGGGATAATTCACCCAAAAATTATTCTGTTATTATTTACTCACCGTCATGTGAGTATGTATGAGTATGATTATGTCTTTCAGATTTCTTTATATTTGTACTCTGCAGAAGAAGTCAAACAGGTTTTGATATATAACCATTTCTAGGTGGACTATCCCTTTAATATTCAGTTATTCAGGTTTAATTGTCCTATATGAATAGACACAGTAGATGGATGGTCTGTCTTTGATTGCAGTAATTGTACTTTTAAATACATTTTTAGAATGTTGGATATCCTAAATCTTGTTTTTTTGTTTTGTTTTGTTTTGTTTAAAGCAGAGGCCAGGAGAGTATGAGGCAACATTCAAGTATGATGAAGGGGTCTGTCAAAAAAGCACCAGCAAGGAGTCGACTCCCTCGATTAAAACATTAATGCAGTTCAGGGATCTTCAACAGGGCGGCCATCAATTATTGGTTGATTATTTTTGTCAAAGTGTTTATTTTTTTTAACGTTTTTATTTTATTTTATTATTTTTTTAAGAACAGTAAAATGATGCATAATTTTTCAGAGGCCACTCTGAACTTTAAGGATATTCACTAAATACTTTAAAATAATTTTAGAAAATTATTTCTTGGCATATTTTAGTGGGTTTTGTCTTATTTTGGCTTATTTCATTTCAAGGTCATTTCTTTAATTAAATATATTGTCATATCAGATGCTAATTCTGTTATGAAAACTTCCCAGATAGCAAGCAACCACTGAAACAATGTTAAAGGGGTCATATGATGCGATTTCAATTTTTCCTCACCTCGCTTTTCAGAACGATGAGCTTTGTAATAATCGACGCGTTTCAGAAAGGTGGGGCATAGAGGAGCAACAATAATGTACATCATGTGGAAAATAATGTGTTTTTTGAACCTTAAACAGCATAAACACATTGCATACACCAAATACACAACATAATGTTCTTTTTTAGCAATGTCATATGACCCCTTTAACTCAATGTTTGTGTCAGTGCTAACTGCATTGAATTAATGTTACAAAGTGATGTTGGTTCTATATCACTTTTGCACCCGCAATTAATGTTGAAACAATGGGGATATTTCAACAACAACAAAAAATGGTAATGTCATTGAATCGACATTATGAAGTAATGATGGTTCATCATCACTTACTGTATTCACCCTCAGTTAATGTTTAATAAAAAAAAAAAAACAGTTTTCTCAATTGCTTAAATACACTTGTCCACTCAGACATCACATTTTCAAAACAGTTAACATACAGGCTGAAACTGAAGCTCAATGGCCAAAATGACTCATTTTGTTTGCAAAATGCTCCAACACTCACAAAACATTAAAGTGCCCCTATTACGGATTTTTGAAAATTACCTTTCATGCAGTGTGTAACAGCTCTAAGTGAATGAAAACATCCTGCAAAGTTTTAAATCTAAAAGTGCACTGTGTATAAAGTTATTGTCTTTCAAAAGAAAGAGTCGACTCCAAGTCATGAAAACTAGTCATTTTTAAAACGAATCTTAAGCTGTTTCAAGTTGACGTCAACATGAAACATTAGCATATTTATGCCCGCCCACTTGTTGCACGCGCAGACCCGGGAAAACCTCCCCTCCCTCAAACACTGTAGCGGATTCCTGTGGAGAAGACGCTGTGCTCTGCACTGTAAGGGTAAATCCATTAGGGCAGTGGTTTTCAAACCGCTCCATGAAGTACCCCCAGCACTGCACATGTCTCCCATATCTGACACATCCACTTCAGGTCTTGCAGTCTCCACTAATGAGCTGAAGAGTTGAATCAGGTGTGATAGATGAGGGAGACATACAAAATGTGCAGGGCTGGGGGTACTCCAGGACAGGTTTGAGAACCACTGTGTTAGGGTATAGTTAGGGTACCCCCTGATCTTCAAGTACATTATTCTTGAAAAACTCCAAACTCATTTTCTCCTCCAACTTCAAAATCATCCTACATTGCTGCAGAAGCACCGACCTAGTGTTTACAAAGTGAACGTGGAAAGAGGGTCAAACACCCTTTACAAAAAATAAATAAATATAAAATAAAATAAAGGTAAAACAACGATGTAGGATGACTTTGAAGTTGGAGGAGAAAAGTGTTGGGAGTTTTTAGACATACTGTCTTGAACCATTGTACACACACAGACAGAGTACGCATGGGCCTCTCAGAGCTAGACAAGACGAGCATTTGTGGTTAAAAAGTGTATAAACATTATTTTTTTTAAGAAAATGACTGATCGTTTCGCTAAATAAGACCCTTATTCCTCAGCTGGGATCATGTAGAACCCTTTGAAGCTGCACTGAAACTGCATTTTTAACCTTCAATCCGTTGAGCACCACTGAAGTCCACTATATGGAGAAAAATACTGGAATGTTTTCCTCAAAAACCTTAAATTCTTTGCGAAGAAAGAGCGACATGAACATCTTGAATGACATGGGGTGAGTAAATAATGAGGAAATTTCTATTCTGAAAGTGGAGTAATTCTTTTAAAACTGTTGCTGTCATGTACGCTGTACTGTAGCATGCAAAATAAGTATTTAGTTGTGTGTGTTGTGTTTGCTCCGCACAGCTTGTAGGTCTCCGTCTATCCGGCTAACAGCAATATCTGTTCGCTCGCAATTGTCTAGAAATGTGTAGATGAATAGTGAATGTTTGTCATTGTTATTACTTGGAGTTCTGATAAAGAAAGAATAGAGCTATACTTTGGTGTACAAACTGCAGTGCTTTATCAATACGTTTCTGCATTAGGCTAACGCATATACCATGGCTGTTTGGGTGTTTACCAACGAGCTGTGAGCTAAATAATGGCGATGGGCGTTCCGTTATTGACATGCGCTGCACGCAGTAGACCAATCACAACAGACTGGGTCATCAGACCAGTCACCGCAGTTTAGCATCACGCAAAGGAGTGGTTAGAAAAAATAAATCGTTGAGCGAACCGTTTGGGAGTCACTGAGCAAAAGAAAAAATAAATGCATATTATAAGACAATGAAAGTGTTTTTTGGCCTTGCATGCATGTCAACCTGTTGTTGGGGGCTCCCAAAACCTAAATATGAACCTTTCATTACCCATAATAGGGGCACTTTAAAAACATGCAACATAAGCAAATACTTCCATCAAACACCACAGCTTGTGGTCAAATTAATTTATTCTTTCAATCAATCATTACACAATGGACAGCAAAATACAAAACACAGCTATCAATATGGAATTACACTGTTCAAATTCAGAAGTGTTGAATATGGTTTAAAAAAACAAAAACAAAGGAACTGGGTGGTAATATCTAAAAAAAACAAAAGGAAGAGTTGAAATACTCAGAACTTCAAATTGGATGTTTTCCCTTGCAGTGTTGCAATGCACCAATGAAAATACCTCCTTTGGCATGGCAAATCCATCAACAGCCCTCTCTCTTTAGGTGAAACCAGTCTTTCATTTAGTGCATCAAGAAATGTGATGAGGCATTCTGTATTGAACTGATAGTTTGTATGTGGCAAAGGACACCATCATTGGAGATGGCAGCACACATGGTGATATTGGCACCCCTCTGACCTGGCACTGCAACAGTGACCCTCTGCCCAATAAATGTTCCTCCCGCGTCTCCTCACTATACAGAGGTTGAAGCTGGCTTAGTTCACATAAATTTGTGATGTGCTACTTCAGCTTCATGTTCATTATTCTCCAAAAAAAAAAAAAAAGCAAATTTTTCCAGTTGCATGTAACTGTATGGTAAA